ACTTCAAGACAATTCATGTAGTTTCCAGAAAACTACTTGCACTGAAAAAAAACACACTTAATTATACTCGTTCTTTTAGTCTCATAAAACTATTCTTCACTCTCTGAATATAAAACGAAAGGACTAAATGCCATGTGCAATCAACCACAACTTAACACACACACTAATTTGCCACAAACATCAAAATAAGTTTTCGTTCCGGAATAGTTGGCTAAGGTAATAAATTTCGAGTTAAACTTTGTGGTTTCATTACAATGAAAACTTTTTAAATAAATAAATGAATAAACTTGCAATAAAAGCCAAGGGTTCTGCTGCTGGACACAGCTGTAATTTTAACTTTTGATGAAAGCAAACTGAAAGTTGAGGTATGCAATTTTAACTTTAACATAACAAAAATTTAAATATAACAAATAAAGTTGAGGTTTGAAAAATTTAACTGCTATAATAAATGTAGCTTTTATTAAACATGAAAATTATAATAACATTAAAATATAATACATATATATTACACATATAAGGGTAATAGAATAAAGTGAATTTTGATTGTGCTAATTAAACAATTGAGTCATGTCATTTTTCTATAGTAGCACTTAAGCGTTAAAATATTTGATTTTTTCATAACATCTTTCCCAGCATATAATTTATTTATTGTCCTAACATTATACCACTTCACGACTTTTACATGGCTCACTAATATATGCACATATATATCTACATTCCTCCAACAGGCAATATTGTAAATGGCATGTTTTTGGCGCACATATTCTTCCTCTTTTGAATAAATATTTTTTAAACTTTTTGTAAACACTGAAAATAAAAATATTTATTCAGCCACTAGAAACGCTGTAAGCATTTTTGTCATGGTGTCAAAGTATCCTTGTAGTCCTTGTAGTCTTCGTAGTCCTTGTAGTTACACGCGCACAGAAATGAATGTCAGGCTTGTGTAAGGCGAACTCAATGTAGACATAAAACGAGCTTCCTTGGACATTTGAGGTTTTTTGCCATTCATTTCGTTACTTTTTAACGTTGTTGCGGCTTCTGTTTTTTATGTTGCAATCATTGTTGTTCTCCTACTTTCGTTGTTGACGACGTTGTGGGTGATCTGTTGACAACAAGGCAAGTTCCAATTTTCCAATTTTATATTTTACAGTTTCCGAAATTTTTTAATTTTCTATGTCCTATTTGTATTGCTTAAGGAAATTTTAAATTCAGTAAAAGATAAAAAGTCGAACGAGCAACGATTTTCTTGAATACATAACTTTGCCGTCATATAAAATTTTTCTAAATATCTTTTTCGCATAATTTATGTTTTTACAAGAGATAAAGATTAAATATAAATTAAAATGTATTATTTACAATGTTTATCTGACCCCGATGACAAAATAATTATTAAAATAAAAATAAAACAATGTTTTTAAACTGTGAAAATACATATTTTTCAACAATTCAAAATTTAAATGGGTTGGTAAAAGTAGTCACTAACATATACTATGTAATGAAGTAGTAAACTATGTAATCTTGCATGAGTAGACCAAAAAGTCAGCACGAGTTCCAAGTCTAACACTTCCAATCCAACAAATTATATACGGACTGTTAATTAAATAAAAATTTGAATATTTTCTAAGATCACTGATGATGAATACTTAGAAATACTCGAATCAGCGTTGTATACCTCTCCAGATATGGCCCCGTGTGACTTTTTCTTCTTCGTCCGACTCAAATTGCCATTGCGTGGAACACGTTTTAAGACCATAGAGGCCATAAAAGTAAATTCGCTGCGTGAATTAAAGGCCATACATTCAGCGGCCTTTAAAACTTGTATGGAAAATTGGATCAAGCGTTGGCATGCATGTATTGCCGCAGGAGGAGAGTACTTTGAAGGCGATAATAAAGAAAATTATTAAAAATTAAATTCTCGTTCTTTTTTGATCATAAGATATTTAGACAAATTTCAATAAATTAATCAAATTTTTGTAGTTGTAAATTTGTAAATTTCTAGATATGTAATTTGTATTAAAAACTTTTCTTCAAACTTGGAAATAACTAATAATCGTTGAAAAAATTGTAGAAAAGAAGGGAGTAAGTCTAAGCTGTATATTCCATCTTAACTAGATTAATCTATGATTATTATTAAAATATAAAATGTACTTACTTTTATTAAGTACAACATATTTCTGCTTACTGAACCAGTGCTTGGTTCTCAATAAGAAAATTGAAATAATTATCTTTCTATTTAAAAAAAATTTATATGTGCTTTTAATATTCTCTAGAAGAAACAATCAATTTTTTCAAGAACTTAAAAACAAGAACAAAATTTATGTCTCTTCTAGAGTATGTTTAAAGCAAATACATATTGTTGAATATGAAAGAGTATGTATAAATACAACAGAGGTTGGGTAGCAAAGATCGTAGGAGCGGAGCATCCTAGTAACATATATAAAAATGGTATTTAATATTATTTTTGTTTAGAATTATCAAAATTTATATAAATTTCAAATTTCATCATATAATATGTGTTATATCCATAAATTTGATAGTTTTGTAGACTGTATGGTAGATGAGTAATCACTTTTCATACCATATATGCATGATAAATTTGTATTAATCACTTTTAATCCAAATACAGTTTTTGTCTTTATTTTGGTACCGGAATTATCCAAAAACTTGAAATAATATTTAATATATATAAAGAAATTCAGTGAATCACTTTTTTATAATTTAAAAAAGAACTAATTTGTATAGTTGTTTTGATAATAGTCCTCATATAAAAAAAAGAATTAATGCATCACCTAAAATTTCAGATTCAATGGATTATAGCTTATGAGAACAGATAATTCCATTATTATTTTTTTTCCTACGAATAATTATTTTTTATAACAATAAAAATTTACATAAGGGAATAGCAGTGATCCTATTATTTGTGTTTAATTAGAACACTTCTTGACATATATATGGATATGTAAATACATTAAATACAATTTTTTTTTTAATTAGTTTTATTATTTAAGGCATTAAAAACAATTAATAAAACAAAACATAAAGCATAAAGCAACTAGTTATTAGATAACTAACAAGCAATATAAATATAATCAGATTTAGGCGATTCCATGCAATTTAAAATTCAATACGACTACGACTGTATTCCTTACAACTCTTATAAACCATCTCCCGACGATAACTTCCCAGTATATTGTAGACAAACAAATTGCTACTATACCTACTTCTAATCCAGTTTTGTACACAGTTTTATAGATGTTTTGTTTTGAAATCTTTTGATTTAAAAATAAATCTAAAGAAATATGTTTGACGTATTTATATATATTTATCTTTCTATAAAGTTATATTGAATATTTATTTTCAAAAAAAAATGACTGTGTCAATATTTCGCAATTCACAAAATTTTATGCCTGGCACTTCTTTACGGACTAATAAGCCAACGAGTTATTTCGATAAAACCACTGATAGTAGATATCTAGCAATACTTGAAATAGCTGAAATTGTTGCATTTTATTACAATTTCAAGGGTTTATTTTAATTTTTTAATAATTGTTACTCATACGCTATGCATACTTATTTTCTGAAAACAATTTAATTTCATTAATCCTAACACTGTTATGTGACCAGGAAGAGAATAGCAATAGTATCTATAATGCGTTGGGCTTCACTTGCAGAGGGATGCCAAATGGTACCTAAGACAAGTATTTCTTTACATATTATATTAATATATATTTTTGGGAGTTGCCAAAAAGTGATAGTGCTTACGACAGTAGCTATGCTCACTACGTTATTTTACTAATATGACGAGTAAAAATATTTGAATACTTGTTAAATTTTACACAAATGATTTTTAGTCATGATTCCTTGAAGTTCATAAATTTTCGAAGACTTAAAAAATTTTTTTTGTATGTTTTTATAAGAAATGTTTGAAAACTTCAATATATCATTACTGCAAAGACCATGCATATGTTAGCTGTCACTTGAAAGAAACTAGAATAACGTTATTAATACACAAAGGTTGTTTAAATGCCAGTCACGCACGCATACATAAATAATATTAGCGGATTTTATGCTTGCCAAATGCATAATGAAAATATCTGATGGCACCGAAATTCGTTTCAATCCAATTGCACTGCACCGCAGTACACCAGAGCACACCACAGTAACTCCATCAGGCGATGCGAGTGTACACTCGCACATGCAGATACATTAATCTGCATGTGCAAAATGATCATTCAAGTATAAATTATATTGGCACACGACTACATTCGCAAATTCGGTTACAAAGCTTAAAACATAAATTTTAATGCACTTAACCGGATATGCCATATTTCAGGTATATTCAATGCTACCCTCAGTTGCACGTGAGAATGTGGGCATATGTGCTCTTTTGCATTGCAAAGCTTTATGAAGAACATTAAACATAAACATTTTTTATTTTCAATATTTCCGGGTTTATTTGGTTTTTGGTAAAAAATATGAATTCTTAGCAAAAATATATACTTTGAAATTTTGTGTATCTGTAGATAAAACAGACATGATAAAAATTCTTACATGAAAACTGATAAAGGATATACTCGTAAAGTAAGGCAGCCTTAGTTTGAGAAACAGGATGTATCTTGTGCAATAGTTTTATGGTTGCCAGCATCATTAGTATCTTTGAATTTAAAATTGACGTATAAAAATTTATAGTTTGCTCATACAAGCTGTTTGTTACACGTTTATATGTTTGTTATTGTGAATATGAGCAGTAATTTAATTTTAATGCTTTTGCGTATGGTTCATTAATTTTATAAAACCTTAAAAGTAGCAAATTTGCAATCGATTTCCCTATTGATATGCATTGCTCATAAAATACAAATTGTTTTTTATAGCTTCATTAAAGTATGTAGAGAGAGAAATGTATGCAAGCTTCTAAAAAATTGCAAATTTGCTAACATTTTAAGTTTAGATACCCTCAAACCTATACAATTTTTACGCTACAATTATTGGTTACTGCTTACCTGTCCATGATATTTGGATTACCATGTGTCCGCCAAAAGTTGACCGATTGTGTTGATGATTGAGATTGTGTGATACGTTGACTACAAGGTGATTTGATGCGCACGGAAGCTGATGTGCGGCGTGTTTTTCCACTATTTCGATGTAGTAATGATCTTTGTAGTGGTTGATGCTGCTGCTGCTGCTGTTGCTGTATGTCGCAATCAATGTTGCTAGTTGTACTATTAAAATTGCGATTTGAGTCGCTGACACAGTACTTATTGTAACTGTTGCTATTGAAGCTGCTGTGCATTTGTAATTGCTGCTGACTATGTTGTGGTCTTATAGTGAAACGACCACCCAGTCTGTAAAAATGTAAGAGAACAAAAAAGTATTGTTAAGATTCACATACAATCAGAAAGTATCACAATTTGGTCAAAATCTTACATTGTTGATTTTTATTCTTTGTTCATTTTATTCTGGTTTTGTTTCTGTATTTGCAATTTCTTTGATGACTTTTAAATGGGAACCACAATTTAAACAATTAATTCAATAAAAAAATCTTGAATGCAAATGCAGAAGTGGTTTTTTTTACTGATTCTCTGAGATGCGTTTGTAAGTACAATGTAGCATATATACTGCTCTATATAAACAAACTTTTTGTAAGAGGAAATTGATATAATTTTGTAAGCTTTGTATTTGGATGTGTGGTCTGAATCGTACTTTACGTTGGGGTCCATAGAACTTTTTACGCTAAGCCTAAATTTCACTATGTTATATATAGTATACTTAAAGTTTAAGTGAAAACCAAAAAAATAAAGTACACTTTTAAGTAAATATTTACTTGTTACATAAAATGACTTAGGGATATTAGTAGGATTCTTTTTTAATTACCTTGAACACATTATATAAGCGTAATTTCTTCTTTCTGTTAAACTCAATGAAGTGAAGTAGTGTTATATGCATTTTTTTTGCCAATTTTTTGTGACTAAGATAGGTAAAAGCAAATAAACAAATACTGATGTCACACAGATATTGCAATTGTTCGGATTACACTTTTTGGTTATTTGGAACCGTTCGTCTTCTATATTCTAGTTGATGTTTGAGTCAACTAACTCGACCTTTTTTTTCAGTTTTTTATTTTGTCAGAAAAGCTGTTGAACCAAATTTGAGATGAAGAAAAAACTTACTTGTGGTGGCACTATATAACAGAATATTTATAACAAAACAACAAAAAAAAAAAAACCGTGGAAATTATAAGCCAAAAAGGCTCGCCGTTACTCGTTAACGGAAAGAACCAAAAGACAGAAGAAGTTGAGTTTCAACAGCTGGTCCTATGTATAGAATTATTCAATTCTAGGAGGTGCTTGTAGATCTTCGAAATAAAAAAGTTTTGGGGCCGGAATATAATAATATTGACTAAGGAGCACTGTATCAATAATTTGTTCACAAAAACTTTTAATTAAAAACATTGTTAACTCATTATAGTTTAGTTCGATTTAAATTTTTTTATTTGCTAGTTAATATGTTTTCTTTCTGGAAGTCAAATACTTAATTTAACTTAGGCTTCAATAATTTTGCGTAACAATAAAAGACGTTGTTTGTACGTATATATTAAATGATAATTTGTTTGAAGTCAATATATTCTTGTATATAATACAAATATAAATGAAATAATATATTTTTTATATTTTATTTTTTTATTTATCAAAATGGGATACACAATACCCATTTATTAACGTGGGAAGTACAGATAAATACATCATTTCAAATTTAAATTGTGTCTATTTTTTTTAAATACTGAAGTTTGTCTCAAAATTTTGATTGCCTACCATAAATGGAATTTATTATGTTTTCTAGAAGATTTTTACGAGTAGTGAATGTCTTGCCTTTAATAGGTGTAACAATATTTAACGAGTTGGTAAATATATATTCCATTGAAACAGTAACTAATGTTAATGATCTGCATGTACCTAAGCTTAAGTAAAAAATTTAATGACAAATTTTGACAAGACAGCTAGTTCCATGAGTATCGAACTGTTTACGAACGAATTTTTGGCTGCACGTATCTTGGGTATTGGATCTTGGGACTAAGGATAAATCTGATACTAAGTTTTAATACTTTATTTTTTTTATTATTGGAAATATGACTGTGAAAGAAAATTATTATAAATTGAATATATTATATTACTATAATGTTTATATTAAAGAATAAAAAATAAATTCACAGCAACTGTTGACAGATGACAGATTGAAATAGGTTCTATCTGATACAGTAGAAGAACATAACTGCCATCGATTTATAATGAACTGAAATAACACCTTTAAAACAAGATATAATTTTTTACATCAAAATCTACTTTCTGTGTTGTTTAAAACTTAATTCTATAGACAAATAAATTGGTCTATTCTGTTATCTCCCGTTCAATATTAAGTTTATGTAAAACCTTACTTTATGTTATAATAATTGTAAATCTACCTAATATCATGATTAGTAACGTTATTGCGTTAATTTTATTTCAACTCAATTTTAAATAAATAACATTTGTTATAAGATATGGGTTTTGCTATGATACACTATATAGCTTGGACGTGTTACAAGAAAAGGATATGTTAGCCAACGTTTTTTTAAACGTGTACTTAAGTTTAGAATTTTTTTGTTGTTGAACTTATGGAGTGTCTAGATTTTAGTAATAATAAATATTGTTTTTAAAAAAAAAAGGAAGAGAAGTAATTTTGATCGTGTTGTTTTTTAGCACTTTTTAGTGCTATACATTTACTTTCGCTGCACATGTACTATTTACTCATGATACATAACATCATTTTTTAATTTAATATTGAAAGAGATTACAAAAGCATACAAAAACTGTACAAACAAGCAAGTATGTTTTCTTAAATATTTCAATAATAATTATTATTTTAGTAAATATAAATTCACAATAAATAGTAATAGATTTAGAGTTCATTCAGCTTTTTTCACTTTACTTTATTATTAATATGAAACCCATTTTAAATTGATAGGATTAGTTTCCAAAGAACCTATGAGGAGAAAAGGCCCACAAATTGATTGGATGAAGTAAAAATAATACTTTTCAAGAACTGAACTTTATAGTTTGGTTGTGATTTATTATTATTTCGTCTATAAAAAAATAAAAATAATATAAATATTTACTTACCGTCGAAATAATTCACTTTCTGGATGTTCTGCTGCAAAACGTGCCTTTTTTCGAAGCAACTGTATTGTCAGTGCGTAGGTGGTGACCATCATCAGCATTGGTATATAAAATGCAACCAAAGAACCGAAGACGAAAAAAGCTCGATTATTTATCACACATACATTTGGCTCTGGCATAATATTCTTTTTATCAATTAGACCTGTGCGAAAGACAGATAAAGTAGTAAATTATTTATATTATAAAATATAGTTAACAAAGTGAAAGAGTGAAATTAATGTGTGGTATAATAGCATTAATACTTAAGAAACGCAAAAAAAATAAAACACATATAAACTGTGTAAAAAAGCATATCACATTACCCAAAACTGTAATTGAACTGGACACAATCATCGCCATTACCCAGACAATAGCTATTTTAATGCCAGCCAAACGTTTCGTTGAGCGATGCCGCGAGCCAAGCGGATTTCGTATGCCCAAATAACGGCCAAGGCTGATGAAGCACATGTGGAGGATGCTTGACGAGCAGGCAAGTACATCACAGGTTACATATATATTACACCAAATAAAACCGAGCGGCCAATATCCTGTAACAAAGCGTAAAGAAAAATTAATAATGGCATAGTGTAAATACATACGTGTATATGGTATACATGTGAAAGCGTAAATGAGTTTATGTTTACACCAGTGGGTTAAGTAAAGTATATAACTACTTTTTTGTATTTTTTAATGCAAAAATTCAGTACTATGGCGTAGCTGAAAAATAAATATTTGAGTTAATTGAAAACGAAATGAAAATGGATTCTTTATTGTAGCGAATGCGAAATTTCGCAAATCCAAATGACACTGAAGAGCGAACAATACTGGGACTGAGAAAATGCAAACAATAGACTAATTCCAAAAAAGAAATAAAATTTTCTTATATGCAAATTGGCAGAAAAAATCAATTTTTACTTTATTAGTTTTGCTCGTTGCTTATTTCAGGGATTTTCAACTTACTTTATTGAGTTTTCTGACTGCATATGGACCACATCCACTCTTAATTCACGTCCACATGAGTATTTGCTTAGATTTCGAATGAAAAAAGTTTGCTAATATATTTTCGTTACTTGGCGTAAAATACTGACTTAAATACATTTAAACAACATTTTATTTCATTTATATTCATTAACCCATACTTTGTGATTTTCATGAGGTTTTTCCTTCCACGACTACCTTTCTTATTGGCATGCAGGGCTTTTGGTAACATAGGTTTATCTGTTTTTTTTACTTATTGCTTTTTGCTTATACGTGTATGTGTTTTGTGTGTTCTTCCCCCATTAATTTTTTCTGTATTTTTCTACATCGAGTGCACTTCAATGCTGTAATTTATTACTATAAACGCCTAAGAAATATCCTTAAACTCTACTCGTACTTGATAGCCTCCGCAGTTGGAGTTTTCCATCCACTTTGTGTGATTTTTTCTGTTTATTTTTACTGTTCCGAAAATAGTTAAGAGATTTTTTTATAGTGTATGAATTACATTCTTTGGTATTGCATTTTTCCTGTTCCAAAAGAAACTTGTGCCATAAAATAAGGCATATGAATTCTTGTGGTGTTTAAATAAAAGTTTCAAAAACTTGTCGATGAAGAAAAGAGGTTAACAACACAATAACCCAACTTAAATTTAAGTTTATATAAGTTGGCTAATGCAATATTGATTTAAGGAGAATTATGTGTTCTTAAACTAGAATAAATAACTAATAACATCCATTCAATAATTTATTAATTAAATTGATCAGAGCAAAATGTGTTTATTTTGCATCTTGAATTCGCAAATAATAATTGTAATCAATCTATTTAACATAAAATATACATAAATTAATATTTTTCAATTCAACATTTATTTACTTTTGTTTCTAAACTTAGAGTTGTAACAGAAGAAGGTTTGTGTGTATGTGTGATGTATACTTATAGTTAGGTTTAAGAGGTTTAATTTTTAGGAAAAACCAAATTTTATTCGTTTATAATAAATGATCTGATTTTAAGACTATTTAATATATATGAGAGTATTGCCTTAGTTGATTCCGGATCAGTGCAGTTGAAAATTTGAGATTTATTGTTTCTGAAGACTGTAAGTAAAAAACTAAGATGGTGATTTTGTACTGTGGAGTAAATGGGGCACTCAAACATAAAGTTATTCAACGTTTCTTCAGTTTGTAAATTACTAAGTGTACAAAGGTTATTGATTTCGAGTCTGTAAATTTGCCCGTTAATACAAAAACGAGTGCAGTGAGTTGTTGACAACCCGCAATTGGGCGATAACCTTTGCCATAAAAAATTACTTACGTTCAAAGAGGTAACAAGCAGGTTTGTCATCAAGGGCCCTTAATATATTGCAATTCATGGATTGTGAGTTGTTGACTTTTAAAATGTTTTTGAATTTTAGATATCTTTGAAGCGTTCAAGGGCCATAGTTCGGTTCTTAATCCAAGTTGCTGCAGTCGGTGTTTCCCACAAGTTTGTCCTATTTACAACTTTAAGAAAGTCATTAAATTGTGTAACCCAAGAAGAATTATTTACGTGTAGGTAAATGAAACGAAGGAAACATTGTTTGGGGTATCTTGATTTGCCCATTTGACGAATTCGTATAATGAAATTGATTGCTCGTTTGAAAATTCTATATGAAATTTTCACTAGGACTAGTTGCATTATTTGTAGCTTTGGGGAGTGCTAACAAACGTTTGTAGTACGTTGACGAAACGATTTCTAGTTAAAATCATAGACCCCACACTTCTGATGCATATTAAAGTGTTTCAGACACAATGCAGTCGAATAGTTTAGCCCGACCTTCCCAAGAGTCTGATTTAAATTTACTAATAGTACCGAGCGTACCGAGCGCCATTTTCCCTTTTCTTATGGCAGTTTCTGCTGCACATTTGCCTAATGTGAAGCTTGTGAAATTTACTCCTAAGTATGTGTAGGACTTCACGATAGAAATTTTGTATTATTTGTAAAAGAAATTTTCTGCTTTTGGTCTTCCCCCTCTTTTAAAGTGGACAATTTGGGTTTTTTCCGTGTTTACAGCAAGCTTGTTTTTTCGAAGTAGCTTTCAAGTGCCATTAAATTTTTTCGCAAAATAATAGGGGACCTAGCGAGAACAACGGCGTCATCTGCAAAAAGCAGCAACAAAATATCATGTAAACCATTAATATTGATCCCTTTAGTATTTGCATTCCTTACTTCTTTCTCCATATCAGCAATAAACAATATGAAAAGGAGAGGGTTGAGAATTTTCCCTTCGAGAACGCATTCGGTAACAGAGATAGGATCAGAGACTTTTTGCTGAAGTTTTTGCCAGAGCAGCTTCTGGTCAATAGAATCAAATGCCTGTTTGAAATCAATAAAAAGTCCGTAAGCAGAGTTGCTTTTTAGACGTAGATGTAATTGAATTGCTGTTTGAAGAGTAAAAATATTATCAGTATATGATCTTTTATTTTTAAACCTATTTTGCGACTCGGGAATTTTATTGTGTTGTACCGCCCATGGCGAGAGGCGACCATGTAGAATATGGGTGAAAATTTTTAAGATAATGTTGCATAGAGCAATGCCTCTATAAATTTCGGGTGAGTTTATATTACCTTTTTTGTGGAGCAAAACAAGAACGGACCAGGCACAAAAACCAATACTTATAAGCAATTAGGGTTAATACCAATATTAATAAAACTGCAAAAATTATTATACGATATAGTTGTTATTTTTGTTTTCTCTTATATTAAAAAGTATTTAAAAAATTCTTATCAGTATTTAATCAAGTAAACTGCGTATCTAAAAAACCTACCTGAAAGGTGGAAATTTATTAACTCAGACATGATAGAAATAGATAATACTATTTTCTTTGCAACTGGGAGTTGTAGCCAGACAATGTTCCCTTTTGATTTTATTCCGTTTATTAAGAATCATAAAGAACTAACAGAAGCCAATATTGAGAACAGCATGAAGTTCTCAAAGAATATTATTTGATTAACATAGGGCAAGACGGAATACAAGACGGCTTTTAAAATTTTAATTTTTTAAACTCTCTAAACAAGAACAACAAATGTCATGCAAATTGAATGGCGTTCAGAAAAATATAATCATACATTTGGTCTTTGGTGCAATATTTCTGAGATATAGATTCATAGTAAGATATACTTTCCTGATTCGAAGTTAATATCAAGAATTTTTCCTGATGTGAACCGTAAAAAACCGAGTGACCTAAAGTTATTTAAAAGAAGAATACACGTATGTAAAGTTAATATCAATAAAAACGGGTTAATAAATGATTATTTTGGCTTTAACAGGTTGTTGAATTAGCTGTGAATTTATAGTCAATTTTGAATATGAAGTCAATTAAGTTAACTAAACATAGTTATATGAACTTTATGTTATTAATATGTTGCGAAACTTCTATGAAAAATTAAACTTTATTTATTTTTAAATGGTTTTTTTATTATTTTAAGGTCCCTTTTGCTTTCAATACTTATTCAATTTATTTATAGTACAATAATTTATTACTTTCTTTAAATTTTTATTAAATTGAATTAAATTTCGTTTCTTTGTATTTTATATAAGAAATATTTATATGAAATATTTTTTTAAAAATATAAAAGAGCCACAATCAAAATTTAAATCCTCTTACTTAATGCTCAACCGCAAAATAGTTACTTTATTTCGCTGTCATAAAATAATTAATCTTCGTCATAACCTTTTTGTCAAAATGCAGAAAAAACCCTACTCAGGAATAGATTAAGCTACTAATTTTGAACAAATGTAACTTCTCTGCAAAATCAGTTTGTAGATTTGTAGAGCAAATTTAAATGTTTTTATAAACGTAAAACAGAAATATATTTTCATGATTTACGAAGCAATAGAGGGAATGGATTCTCCGGCAGCTGTAATCCGAAACACTCAAATGGGATTGATTTTCGTTTGGCAGAAAAGTCTTTTAAAGTAATCTCTACATTCGCATGTGTTAGAAACGGTAAACAAATTTGTTAACCATAAACTTCTACGGAAGATTTACGAAATATAAAACCAAAAATATACAAACGGTTGTGGTGTGAGGGTGTTGTAAAGTGGTTACCTTTGGCACTCTGCAAATCTGGAATTTGTGCGCTGAAGAAGCAATCAGCAAGCACTTAAACTAGTTTTCTGACTTACAATTGGAGGTTAAATTATGTAAAAAAATTGTGTTGAAAGAAAATTGAAATTCCCATATAACATATAACTTTGAAAAACTTTAAAATACATTCCCAATAAAAAAGTGAGTAAAATTTAAAACTACCGAAAAGTCAAGCTATTACACAAATTACACGTATCTGTATTAAAGTTTTGCTATGGTTATATTATGGTAAATAAAAAACATACTATAAGTGACAATTAGCTGCACCTGTGCTATAAAACTTTATATGGGTTAGCTAAACCACATTTACTGGAGAAATAAAAAAAACCATCAATTATCGCAGCTGTAGCGCTAATCAAAATAAACAGTTGTGAGACTTTCGAGGTTAAGGGTCTTGTTAAGGGTTATCAGATACTCGAAATGCACGTATGTGCACGCAGGTAA